GCAGCCACCATTTCTGTTTAGTTCCAAAACATCATCACCTCCCCCACCCTCAAATCCCCATACCCATTAAGCAGTCACTGCCCAGCACCTGGCATTCACCAGTATACTTTCAATCTCTACAGATTTAGAAATTTATATATTTTCAATCTCTATGGATCAATACCTATTCTAGATATTGCAAATAAATGGAATCATCCAATATGTGGACTTTTATGTCTCTTTTTGCACATGGTATATCCAATTGTCCCAGCACCATTTGTTGAGAAGACTACTCAGTCCCCCAATGAATTGCCTTGGCACTTCCATTGACATCAATTGACCATAAATATAAGGGTTTATTCCTGAACTCTCAGTTCTGTCCACTGATGTACATGTCTACCCGTGTCCCATACTAGTACCAGAATCCTGATAACTGTAGCTTTATAGTTGTTAGTGCAAAGTATGAGTCCTCCAACTTGGTCCTTTTTTCAAGATTATTTTGGCTACTCTGGTCCTTTCCATCTCCATATGAATTTTTAGGATCAATCTGTCAATTCCTGCTTAAGAGATTGTATCGAATCTATAGATCAACTTGGGAAACACTGTCATCTTAACAATACTGAATCTTCCAATTCATGAACATTAAATGTCTCTCCATTAATTTAGTTTTTCAATTTCTCTCAGCAATAAAAGTTTACAGGTCTTGCACCTCTTTTGTCCAATTTATACTTAAGCATTTAATTCTTTTTGATGCTGCTGTGAATGGAATTGTTTCTTAATTTTAAGATTATTCATTGTTCATATATAGAAATACAATTCAATTTTGTATACTGATTTTGTATCCTGTGACCTTGCTGGACTTCTTTGTTATTCCTTTCTTTTTTCTTTTTAAAGATTTTATTTATTTTAGAGAGAGAGCACAAGCAGGGGGAGGAACAGAGGGAGAAGGAGATATTCTCCAGCAGACTCCACACTGAGCACCCAGCCTGATATGGGGCTTGATCCCAGGGGCCCGATATCATGACCTGAGCCAAAACCAAGAGCTGGACACTTAACCGACTAGCCACTCAGGCACCCCTGTTTGTTATTTCTGTTAGTTTTTTGTGGATTTCTTATGATTTTCCACATACAGGATCATGTCATCTGTAAACAATGACAGTTTTACTTTCTTTCCAATCTGGTTATCTTTTATTTTGTTTTATTTCCCAATTGTACTAGAGCCTGATAATTTGTATTTTTTAATAGGTTCCAAGGTGATACTGATGCTGCTGGTCCGGGGACCACACTTGGAGAACCACTGCTTTAAAGAATGTGTATCTCATAATGGAAATGACACTTGAGGCGAGTAATGGAAAAGAAGTAAATATTACAATATACTACAAGTGTAAGATCCTCTCTACATACTGTGAGGGAAAATGATAAAGTGATTGGAATAGTCTAAGCATAATTATTTTGGAAGAAATACATAAACAGAGATTATCCAGTGAGATTTTTGGTGTTCTATTCGTTGTATGTATGTATGTACATATATATGTACTTATTGATTGATTGATTGGATTGTAAACTCTGTGTCCAATGTGGAGCTTAAACTCACGACCCTGACCAAGATTAGGAGTTGCATGCTCCACTGACTGAGTCAGCCAGGCGTCCCGTCTAGATATTTTAAAAGGCTTTAAAAAAACTTCAAAATGTTAACGTCAATGACTAGAGAAAAGCTAAAATGGTATGGAGTGTCCATTTTGGAATTACAGTTATTCATAAACAGAGTACCAAGTCAATGGTATTAACATTATAATCATAATAAAACAGGGGCGACTGGGTGACTCAGTCAGTTAAGTAACCAACTCTTGATTTCTGCTCAGGTCATGATCTCAGGGTCGTGAGACTGAACCTCGAGTTGGGTTCCGCACAGGGTGTGGAGTCTGCTTGAGATTCTCTCTCTCCCTCTGCCCCTCCCCCGAATGCACTCTCTCTCTCAAATAAATCTTTTAAAAAAATCATAATAAAACAGTAACAACAATGGTAAGGTTAATAATGAGTAAGTGTATGGAACACTTATGACAGCCACATACTGTTCTAACTGCTATAATATATTAATTCATTGAATTCTTACAGCCCTATGAATTAGCTATTATCATTATCCCCATCTTGTAGATAAGGAAACTGAGGCACAAAGAATTTATTTATTTAAAAGATTTTATTCATTTATTTGAGAGCGAGCGAGCACGCGCGCATGCCCAGGAGCAAGGGGGAGGAGCAGAGGGAAAGGGACAAGGAGACTTGCGCTGAGTGTGGAGCCCAAAGTGGGGCTCGATCTCACAACCCCAAGAGCATGACCTGAGCCAAAATCAAGAGTTAGATGTTCAACTGACTGAGCCACCCAGGTGCTCTGAGGCACAGCGAATTTAAATGACTTGCTCAAGGTCACACATCTAGTAAGTGTCAAAGCCATGATTCCCCCAAGGCACTGTAGCTCTAGAGCCCACTCTTTCCCATAATGCTGTACTCCTTCTGTTTCTTCTTGCCACAGACGATAAAAATTTCCTTCCTCTAAGTAACAAAAGCAATTTTCTACTGCTTTCTGTGAACTTCCCTTTTAATCATTTCAAAGGGAGTCATAAAAATTAGGTTGTTGTGCAACATTTGAGGTGCTTAAAAACAGTGTCTGGGTAGAAGGATGGGTACCTAGCTGTTCACTTGAAAAAAAGGTGTGTGGTGGGTTCTAAAAGCTAGCAAAATTGCAATCTCTGTTCTAGAAGCTCACAGAAGAGGCAGAATGAGGATAATGAGTTCCTTGAGGAGGGTAGGCATAACATGTTTTAGCCAGGATGGCTGAATCACACAAAGGAATAAAGCCTTACCAGAAGCTGAAAAAATCTCAATGACAGCCCTGCTGATGTTCCTAATTCTAGGTTGTTTGGTGGGTCTTGAAACTTTAAATAGCTCTGCAAAGGGATGTGGTAAGTTCATATGACCCCTCTCTGCTGGAACAGCTTTGCCCTGTCCAAATGAATCTTAGTCACCACTCTGGCTATTTTAGGCCCGAGTCTGATTCTGTGGCACTGGGAGAACTACAGCATGGGTTTCCTGTGACAGGGTAAACCTGCCCCTATGGTAAAAGGCCTGTACTTGGGCAATGAAAGGTTCAGCCCCAGACAGGGCAATGTCACAAAGGCCAAAGGAGTAGTAGAGTTAAAAAGGCTAGGGAAGAGTTGAGAAAAAAAAAAGGATAATTAATGGTTTCTTTGGGGTCGGAAATGAACCTCAAAAACAGCTGACCAAATTTCACTTTGAATAGTAAGATTTTTTTTCTCTCTTGTAGGCTATATTGGTTCAGGTGTATATCAAAGATGGGGAAACTTCTTTGGGCGCCATCTTGATAATGGCATGTCATTAATAATTATTTTTGCCAAGGACTTTTAAAGCAAACAGAGAAGAGCCAGTTTGAATGCCTGACTGCAAAAACAATTAGGGCAGAGGCTTAACTGAGAATCATCATCACCAACAATGACATGTTGCAATTTCCCTTGCTGTAGAGTAGCACAATTCAATAGGACTTTTTACAATGATGGAAATGTCCTATATCTGTGTGGTCTGATTCAGTAGCCACATTTGGTTACTAAGCACTTGAAATGTGCTAGTGTGACTGGGGAACTGATCTTTTAGTTTTATTTAATTTTCATTGATTTAAATTTAAATAGTTACACGTGGCTACCAGCTATCACGATCAACAGTTCAGCTCTACAGCATAATATTGTGGCCTAGTTCCCCCAAATTCATATAAATGTTCTTCTAAATCTAGAGTTGTATACAATTATTCATATATTTCAGGGTTGAATAGTGAATGTTATTGTGATTTATGACATATCTGAAAATTACGAAGTTTTATAGTTGGCAGGAGTCACGGGCTAAGGAGGACTACTAACCAATCACTTAGAGGAGAGAGTTAAAAATTATTTTTTTATAGTAATAAAAAATAATTCAAATATAAGTTAATTTGAAGACCACAATATAATAGAGTTTCCTCTGTTGGGAAGAGCAGGGGGAGAGGGGAATGCTGTCACATGAAATTTTTGAATAGTGTTGGAGTGCCTGGGTGGCTCAGTTGGTTAAGCGTCCGACTCATGGTTTTGGCTCACGTCATGATCTCAGGGTTGTGGGATCGAGCCCTGTGTTGGGCTCCAAGCTCAGTGTGGAGTCTGCTTGAGATTCCCTCTCCCTCTGCCCCTGCTTTCTCTCTCTCTCTCTCTCTCTCTCTCAATAAATAAATAAATAAATAAATTTTTTTGAATAGTGCTAAAAGACTCCATTATTTTTGTTTGGTGTTTTTCAAAACTTTTTAAAATCAAATGGGCTCCCCATATGGATAATTATCATATTTTTTTTGGTGAGGTAGAGGATAAAGAGAGTGGTAAAAGGAGAAAGGTACCTAGGAAGAATAAAAAAAAGGTGAGAAAGGTAATTTGAAAATATTTTCTAGTAGACCAAGGTAATGGGGATTTTTACTACTTTGTGATGGTTGTCCAATTCTAATCCAGTATTTGTTTCCATTGAGCTGAACTCACATTTTGTCAAAATATTTGAGAAAATGGAGATTTTCTCAAATCTCCATTTGATTTGGGTGGCTGGGTGGCTCAGTTGGTTAAGTGTCTGCCTTCAGCTTGGGTTGTGATCCCAGGGTCCTGGGATCAAGTCCCGCATTGGGCTCCCTGCCCGTCAGGGAGCCTGCTTCTCCCTCTCCCTCCTCTGCTTGTGCTCTTTCTTACTATCTTTCTTTCTCTCTCTCTCAAATAAATAAATAAATACTTTAAAAAATTAGAGAAAGTAATTATATCTCTGCTATGAATTTTCAGGATAATACAAATCTAAAATGTGGTTAATCTTCCATTTATTATAACCTCTTGTTTAGATTCACACTTAGATATTACCTTAAATGATTTAAAAACCAAAATCTTATTGAAATAAGTTTCATAAGTGAGAATTTAGCTGTAAGAAAGCTTTTTGCTGATTTCTTTAATTACCTTTAGTTTCCTCCTTGCATTGAATTTCCTCAGTTGCTCTACTGTTTCCGGAAGATGAATCTTGTAGGCATAACGATCCCGCTCCTATAAAAGAAGAAAGATAATGAACATATGTAGCCATTTAAAAAAGTGAAGAAACTTAATTGAAAACAAACAAACAAGCCCAAATTTCTTAAATATGAAACTTAGATTGAATTCTAGAATACTGGAGATTTTATTCCATGATACTGGTAAACATTCTCAAATGAAGGCTATTAAGGTCAAAAGTGATAGTAAAATAATCTTTTCAGCAATAATAAAGGCTAAAATAATGGGTTATATAATTTTCAGGTATGGCTATATGGCTAAGATAATTAACCATAATTATGAAAGTATGAAGTTACCTTTGATATGATCTTGTCAGGTAAAACAAGCATGTGAAAAATTAACTCCACAAATGATTGAGCATTTGGAGTCATCTGGAATAACTGGATTTAAAAAAAATCACAGTATCTTTGAACTAGAACAAACTTTTCAAGGCCATCTAATTCAACCATTTCCCCATGTGGGATCGTCTTCAATCCCTGATGGAGGATTATTCTCTTTGACCTTGTCCAGTAGGTGATCATTATTTTATAGCAGCTTATTACAATTTTAAGAAAGTCAAAATGTTTTTACTTAGCCTGGGCCCGTACCTGGCTTGTTTGGGCTAGCTCTGTCCTCTGCGACATGACGGAGCAAACATACTACCTCTTCCATGTAATAACCCTTCAGTAGCTAAGAGGGGGATGATGCTTTCACTAAGTCTACTCTCTGTGATGTCTCCAGTTGCCTCAACTATTCCTCATGTATATTTTAAACCTCTTGTCATTCTTTTTTTTTTTTTTAAAGATTTTATTTATTTATTTGACAGAGAGAGAGCGACAGAAGGAACACAAGCAGGGGGAGTGGGAGAGGGAGAAGCAGGCTTCCTGCTGAGCAGGAAGCCCAATGCGGGGCTCGATCCCAGGACTCTGGGATCATGACCTGAGCCGAAGGCAGACGCTTAATGACTGAGCCACCCAGGCGCCCCTCTTGTCATTCTTCTTAACAGCCCTTTTGGTTCTACTCTAATCTGTCAATGTATCAGGTTTGGGTAAGTATTCATTTCAGAAATATTTCTTGAGAGCCTACTATGTGCCAGGCATTGTCCTATGCACTTGGGATACACGACTAAACAAAACCAATGAAGATTCAGACCCTTGTGTAGCTCATGTTCGAATAGGAGAAGAAAATACAAAAAGGTGAATTATCGAGTATGATAAAAGTGCTATGGAATAAAGCAAAAAGTAAAGCAGAGTAAGAGGGATTGGGTACACTGCAGTTTAAAATAGGATGGTCAAAGTAGGCCCACTTACTGTGAGGACACCCAAAAGTGGTGAGGGAGTGGTCTAGGCAGGGAGAACCACCAATCCAAATGCCCAAAGGAGGGAGTGCACCTGGAATTTTCACGAACTAGCAAGGAGACCCATGTGTGATCAGATCAGAGAGGTGACAAGGCTGGGGTAGGCCATAAAGGGCCTTTTATTCTGAGTGGGAGAGGGAGCCACTGGAGAGTTCTGAGCTGAAGTGACATGATCTGACAACTTTAAAGGAACACTTGGTTGTTGTGTTAAGAACAGATTAGAAGGGAGCAAGCGTTTAAGAAAAAAAGGGGGGGCAGGGAGACCAGTTAGAAGGCAACTGCAGTAATCTGGGAGGGGGGAGATGATGATGAAATCAGATGGAGGGATGCCTGGGTAGCTCAGTGTGTTACGCATCTGCCTTCGGCTCAGGTCATGATCCCAGGGTCCTGGGATCCAGTCCCACATCGGGCTCCTTGCTCAGCGGGGAGCCTGCTTCTCCCTCTGCCTGCTGCTCTCCCTGGTCGTTGTCTCTCTCTCCCTGAGAAATAAATAAATAAAATCTTAAAAAAAAATCAGATGGAAAAATAAAAAAGGTGAAAAGGAGATAGATCCTGAATACGTTTTGTTTTCTGCAGAAAGTTTTACTGAGATATAATTAGCATATAACAAACTGCATGTTTAAAATGTATAATTTGATCAGTTTTGATGTATATAAGCATAAAAGCATCACCGCGATCAAGATGATGAATATACCCATCACTCGCAGAAGTTTCCCTAGGTCCCTTTGTCCTCTCCCTATCAGTCCCCAGGCAGCCACTGTTTCTGTCACTGTAGATTGGTTTTGCATTTTCTAGAATTTTCTATAAATGGAACCAGACAGTACATACTCATTTTCCAACTTGTTTCACTCAGCATAAAGGTTTTGAACTTCATCCATCAAGTTGAGAGTATCAGTAGTTCAGTCCTTTTTATTGCTGAGTGGCATTCCACTGTAAGGATACGCCACAATTTGTTTATCCATTCATCTGTTTATTGACCATGGGTTGTTTCCAAATTTTGGCTATCACATAGAAAGCTGCTATGAACATGAACGTACAAGTCTTTGTATGGACATGTATTTCATTTCTCTTAGGTAAATACTTAGGAGTAGATTGGCTGGGTTGTATTATAGGAGTATGTTTAACTTTTTAAGAAACTGCCAACCTGTTTTCCAAAGTATTTTACATTTGTAAAGCAATGTATCACTTCCGGTTGTTCTACATCCTCGCCAATACTTGGTATGGTTAGTCTTTTTGATTTTAGTCATTCTGATACATGTGTATATAGAGATCTCATTGTGGCATTACATTGTATTTCTCTGATGACTAATGACGTTGAGCAACTTTGCATGTACTTATTTGCCATCCACATATCTTCTTTGTAGAAGAAGTGTCTGTTCTGAATATTTTCCCATTTTGAACTGGGTTGTGTGTTTTATTATTGAGTTTTAAGAATTCTTCCCGAATAGGGAAAGGGGATTGATAGGTACAAACTCCTAGTTATAAAATAAATAAGACACAGAGATGTAACGTACAGCAAAGGGAATACAGTTAATAATATTGTAACATTTCTGTACGGTGACAGATGATAGCTAGGTTTTATCATGGTGGTCACTTCATAATGTATATAAATGTTGAATTATTATGTTGTATACCTGAAACTGATATAATATTGTATGTCAACTACAGTTCAAGAGAAGAGATTCTTTACATAATCTAAATATGTAAGTCCTTTATCAGATACTCCCACAGTTCATAGCTTTTCATTTTCTTACAGTGTCTTTCCAAGAACAGAAGTTCTTAATTTTGAATATATTCTGGAGAGTGGCAGGATTTTCTGAGAGATTGATGTGGGGTGTGAGAGAAAGAGAGGAGTCAAAGACCACACCAAGTTTTTCAGCGTGAGCAACTAGGAGTCTGACACCGATGGAGATGGGGAAGAGATCAGGACTGTAGCTTTGATTATGCTTCAAATATCTAAAGTGGAGATTCAAGTAGGTACTTGGACATACAAGCCTGGAGTGCAGGAAGAGAAATCTGGGCTGGAAATGAATTTTTAGAGGGTCATAAACATTTAGAAGGTATTAAGTTGGCATTTAACTCTGTCCCAGCCACTCAATTTGGGACTTTCACAGGCATTATCCCATTTCTTCTTCTTTTTTTTTAATTAAAAAGATTTATTTAGAGAGAGAGCATGCAAGAGCAGGGGGAGGGGCAGAGAGAGAGAGAGAGAGAGAGAGAGAGAGAATCTCCAGTAGACTCTGCTGAGTACAGAGCCTGACTCGGGGCTTGATTTAATCTCGAGACCCTGAGATCATGACCTGACTTGAAATCAAGAGCTGGACACTTATGCAACTGAGCCACCCAGGTGTCCCTCTCATTTATTCTTTAAAACAACTATATAAGATAGTAGAGAGAATGCTACACATTAATTATCTCAAAAGTCATGGCTCAAATGGACATAACTATCATCATCATAGTTAGCATGTATTGAGGGGCTTATTATGTGCCAGGCATTGTTCTAGTGCTTTATATGTTTATGTTACTTATTCTTCACAACAAGGTAGGAACATATCATTATATCCTATTATGCAGCGGGGAAAAAGGAGATGCATTATACCTGATGAAGATTAATTAGTATGAAGTGGACCTCTTAATTTTCTTAATCTGGATACTATATAACATTTGTAAATTAAGTTCAAGATCACATTATTATTTTATAACTAAAATTCATGTTTGCATGTGAGTCACTTCTAAAATTAATGTTTTGGTATCATATGCTGACAAAATTTATTTTTGAATTTAAATGTAGAATTTTATAGTCAATCCTGTCAAAATTTCACCTTATCATCACTGAAATTCCCAAGGAATGAATATAAACACTTTAAAATTTATTTTCTATATTAATGACTAAATGTAACAAGAGTTCTACTGGAGAGCAAAATTATATTTTTCTTGAGTGCACATACAATGCTTGATGTCAAAATGACTACAATTTGCACATCTGCCAGGTTCTATATGCTAAACATCTTGTAAATGATTTTATTATCTTTAGGGACTTAATCTCCTTTTCCTGCACTAAGCCAGAACAGGTTCACCAATAGAAGACTTAAGAATTTATCGAATAATTACCTAGCAGAGACAAGCATAAAATTAGCATTCTGTGACAAGCAATGGAATCTTTTAATGGATTGCTGTTACTGTGGAAGATGGGGTACATGCGCACACCCCCCCCACAATGGACTATTACTCAGCCATAAAAAAGAACGAAATCTTGCCATTCACAACAACACAGATGGACCTACAGAGTATTATGCTAAATTAAATCAGACAGAGAAAGGCAAATACCATAGAATTTCACTTATATGTGGAATCGAAAAGACAAAACAGGGGTGCCTGGCTGGCTTAGCTGGTAGAACATGTCTCTCAACCTCAGGGTCATGAGTTCAAGCCCCACATTGGACATGGAGCCTACTTAAAAAAAGAAATAAAAGACAAAAGAAATGAACAAACAAAACCAGAAAAAGAATCATAAATACTGAGAACAAACTGGTAGTTGCCAGAGTGGAGGGTGGTGGCGGGGGGACAGGCAAAAATAGGTGAAGGGGATTAAGAAGTACAAACTTCCAGTTATAAAATAAATAAGTCTTAGGGATGAAAAGTACAGCATAGGGAATATAGT